GTTTCCGTTTTTATTTCCTATTAATTAGGATTGATTATGATTGATTAGGATTGATTGTGATTTATTAGAATTAATTGTGATTAGGATTGATTAGTCATCGCTGAGTCATTCTTAGCGATTCTTTCTTGTATAAATACACACTCATGTAATTTATTCAATATCAATATACAGAAACCTTTTTTCAATATGGTATCAAGAGCGGGTTCGTTCCTACCCTAAATCAGCCACCTTCAAGGCTGAAATCATCCAAAAAAACCACCCAAACACAATTCAACCTAAACCCAAATCTCAGAAACCATACCTACAGACCTCCAATCGAGAAGGTGGAGGTACCATTCAACTCAGAAGGCTCCGACGAGTTGAACGCAGCCGGACCCGTCGCCATCAGACTGCCCACGCGCCGCCACACGCGCGGCCACTCTCCGGCGAGTGGCCTTACCGGACTCTTTTTCCGGCGCGAGCTGCCCAGAACTCCTCGTCGGCCTCTTCTGTCCCTGTTCCAGTGGTCAGATATAAAATCGGAGAAATTTTTTTTTTGGATCCACGGTCAAACCTTCGCTTTCTATTCATGGCTTCCTCGAATCGTTCTTCTGCCTCCTCATCTGCCCCAAATTCTCAGCCCTCTGGAGACAACTTAGGTTTGCAGATCACTAATCACCGGTTGAACGGTAAGAATTTTCTGCAATGGTTTCAATCGGTTAAGTTGGTCATCCGGGCAAAGGGTAAGATGGGCTATCTTGAGGGAAAAATTAAGAAACCTACTGAGGATTCTCCTGATTATGACAATTGGGAGATTAATAATTCCTTGGTCATGGCTTGGCTGACTAATTCCATGGAACCACAGATTGGCCAAACCTATCTGTTCTTCAATACTGCCAAGGAAATTTGGGATGCTGTTCAACAAAATTATTCAGATCTGGAGAATACCTCTCAAGTCTTTGAACTGAGAAATAAGTTGAGAGACTTTCGTCAAAGGGGTATGACTATTACTGAATATTTTACTGCACTAACAAATTTATGGCAGGAATTGGATCTTTATTATGCATCCGATCTTAAAGGATTGGAAGCTAATACCCAATTTAAAAAACACTTGGAGAAGGAAAGACTGTATGATTTCCTTGCCGGACTCAACCGAGATCTTGATGAGGTTCGTGGTCAAATATTAGGGCAGTGACCGTTACCCTCACTTGCTGACGCCTTTGCTGAAGTTCGTAGAGAAGCCAGTAGACGGAGAGTTATGCTGAGAGAAAAAGAGTCGCTTGATAAGTCTGATGATATGTCTGCATTAGCTGCCAACCGTACCATTGACCGTTCCTCTTGGAGAATCAAAACAGGATGGTCATCCATGGTGCACCCACTGCAATAAAATAGGTCATACTCGTGGGAAATGTTGGGAAATCCACGGGAAACCTGCAAATTGGAAGCCCAAAGGACAAAATAAAGGTCGTGCATATCAGATCTCTACTGATGACAAGGTTGATGAGCCTCATGCATCCTCTGACTCTGATGGTGTCTTTCTTAGCAAGACTCAGTTTGAACAACTTCAGAGACTTTTGACTCAACCTCTTAAGGCCACTAGTAATGTGGTCCAGCAAGGTACAACTTTCCATGTTGATAGTCAAAATCATTGGATCCGTGATTCTGGAGCCTCTGATCATGTGACAGGTAATCTTGGCTTGTTTTATTCATACACTCCATATTCTGAACCCTCAAGGGTCAAGATCGCCGATGACAGTTTTTCCCAGATTGCGGGACACAGAACCATTAAACTTTCTGAGCTGATTAATTTGACATCAGTTCTTTATGTTCCTTCTCTGTCTTGTAATCTCATTTCCATAAGCAAGCTGACTTCTGAGTTGCATTGCTTTGCTAAATTCTTTCCACATGGTTGTGTTTTTCAGGAACAGGACTCGGAGAGGATGATTGGCAGTGCTAGAGAGGATGGTGGACTTTACTACTTTGAGGAGGATGTGACTCATGAAGCTGTTTTCGTAGAAAAAAACTCTATGTTTCCTTTTGATTCATGTAATGATGTTATGCTGTGGCATCGTAGGCTAGGCCATCCAAATTTTATTTATCTTCAGAAGTTGTTACCAAACTTATTTATTAATAAAAGTCCTAGTTTGTTTTCTTGTGATATTTGTCAACTTGCCAAGCATACTCGTGCTCATTATCCTTCTAAAGTTCACCATGACTCTTCCTCATTTTCCTTAATTCATAGTGACATATGGGGTCCAGCCCGTGTTAAAAATATTTCAGGTACTCGATGGTTCATTACCTTCATTGATGACCATTCCTGAGTTTGTTGGGTATATCTTCTAAAGGACAAGTCCGATGCAGCATCCGTGTTTACAAAATTTCATGTCATGGTTCAAACCCAATTCCAAGTTGCTATACAAATTCTTCGTACAGATAATGGCAAAGAGTATTTTAACTCTATTCTTGGAGAATATCTTTCCCAACATGGCATCCTTCACCAAAGCTCGTGTCCTCACACACCCCAACAAAACGGAGTTGCGGAAAGAAAAAACCGACATCTCCTTGAAGTTGCTCGGGCTCTTATGTTTACCACGAGTGTTCCTAAATATCTTTGGGGAGAGGCAGTTCTCACTGCCTCGTATCTGATAAATCGAATGCCATCTCGCATTCTAAAATTTCAGTCTCCTCTCTTTAGTCTTTTTCGTACCTTCCCTTCCTTCCGAGGCGTCTCCTCCTTACCTCTCAAGTTATTTGGTTGCGTTGTATTTGTCCATATTCCCTCCCATCAACGATCTAAGCTTGATCATAAGTCTCTCCAGTGTGCCTTTATTGGTTATTCTCCTACTCAACGTGGCTATAAGTGTTATTCACCCTCTCTTCGTAAGGTCTTTGTCTCTATGGATGTCACCTTTTCTGAGAATGATCCTTTCTTCCCCGTGACTTCTCTTCAGGGGGAGTCTATAGGAGTAGATGAAGATCAGTCATGGGAACCTGCTGATGCCACAGTATTACCTCTACTTTTGGAAACAGGGGGAGCTACAGAATCCTCACCATCAGGAGCCTCCTCAAAATGGGGACAAGTTTATAGCAGGCGAAAGCCTCCTCAAAGTGTGAATAACCTAGAGCCTCTACATTGCCAGGATTCTGAACCATATTCTAGTTCCAGCACCCCAACACTTGAGTGTCATGGTGAAAATGATCTACACTTGCCCATTGCTCTCAGAAAAGGTACTCGATCTTGTACTACTCATCCTATTTCTAATCATATTTCATATGGAAAATTGTCCCCGGGGTTCCGTGCTTTCAATACTATGTTGGATAGTACAAAGATACCGAAAAATATACATGAGGCTCTCGATGATCAAAAATGGAGGGATGTTGTCTTTGAAGAAATGAATGCTTTAGAAAGAAATGGAACTTGGGAGATAGTGACCCTACCCAAGGGAAAACAGGAAGTAGGATGCAAATGGGTGTTTACAATAAAATTCAATACAGATAATAGCATCAACAGATACAAGGCAAGATTGGTTGCAAAGGGTTTAACTCAGACTCATGGGATAGATTATCATGAGACTTTTGCTCCGGTTGCTAAAGTCAATACCATCCGAGTTCTCTTATCTCTTGCTGCCAACCTAGATTGGCCTCTGCAACAGTTAGATGTGAAGAATGCATTCCTAAATGGTGACTTACATGAAGAAGTCTATATGGATCCTCCACCTGGTTTTGAAAAGAGAAATGGATCAGTGTGTAAACTAAAAAAGTCTCTATATGGATTGAAACACTCTCCCAGAGAATGGTTCGACAAATTCACACAAGCAGTCAAAAGAAGAGGATTCATTCAAGCACAGACTGATCATACTCTCTTCCACAAACACTCTAAGGATGGTAAAATTGCTATTCTTATTGTATATGTAGATGATATAATTCTTACAGGTGATGATATTGAGGAATTGAACACCTTGAAGAAATTTCTAGCAGCTCAATTTGAACTCAAAGAACTTGGCACTCTCAAATATTTCCTTGGTATGGAAGTTGCTAGGAGCAAAACAGGCATCACTCTCACACAAAAGAATTATGTTCTAGATCTTTTGTTGGAAACAGGAATGTTAGTGTAAACCTGCTGAGACACCTGTGGAACCTAATACCAAGTTAGGTATTGAAGATGGGAATGAGGTGGATAAAGAACAATATCAGCGATTGGTTGGTAAACTAATTTACTTATCTCATACGCGTCCTGACATTGCCTTTGCGGTGAGTATGATTAGTCAATTCATGCACTCACCCAAGGAGAAGCATCTTAGTGCAGTCTATAGGGTGCTTAGATACCTCAAGAACACTCCAGGAAGAGGATTATTCTTTAAAAAGGGGTATAAAAGGACAATTGAGATCTACACTGATGCAGATTGGGCAGGCTCATCAGTAGACAGGAGATCTACCTCAGGCTATTGCACCTATGTGTGGGGAAATCTTGTTACTTGGAAAAGCAAAAAGCAAACAGTGGTTGCAAGAAGTAGTGCTTAAGCAGAATTTCGAGCTTTAGCTCATGGAGTTTGTGAAGGAATCTGGTTGAGAAGACTTCTTCAAGGATTGAAGATTTCATATTCCCTACCAATAAAACTATATTGTGACAACAAGGCAGCTATTAGCATTGCTCAAAATCCTGTGCATCATGATCGAACAAAGCACGTGGAAGTTGATTGTCACTTCATCAAAGAAAAATTAGATGATGGATGGGTGCGTATGATAATGTTCCAACCAAAGAGCAAACTGCAGATATCCTTACCAAGGGCCTACACCGTCCAGCATTCGAAGACTTGATTGGCAAGTTGGGAATGATCAACATTTACCTCCCAACTTGAGGGGGAGTGTAGAAAATCAGATTTCAAATATGTTTCCGTTTTTTATTTCCTATTAATTATGATTGATTAGGATTGATTGTGATTAGGATTGATTAGTCATCGCTGAGTCATTCTTAGCGATTCTTCCTTGTATAAATACACACTCATGTAATTTATTCAATATCAATATACAGAAACCTTTTTTCAATAGATACAGTAGATTTTCCATTCCAAATACAACTGACAATCTTACAACTTGGGGACAGGAAGGAAAGAGATACTCATCAAATCAAATCAAACATACCTGGGTCCAAACAGAATGATTATTTGTTATAGAAGCTTCAACTAGCTGTTGAAGTGCTGTCTGCTTACTTGAAATAGGGCTTTCATCACCTCCACTGCATATCTACACAAAAGAAATGCCATATCTTTTTTATTTTGGAGTAAGTCTAAGATATATCTCTTAAAAAATAAACCTAAAGAATGATGTCTACAAGCGCATAGACCAAATAAAGCTGTCTCCACTAAGGGGCTGAACAAGAAAATTTTAAGTGAAGGTGCTAAATACAAACTTACACACTAAAACTTTTCAAAGAGGCGGCACTTTTTATCTATTTGACGTGGCTTGCTTTGAAAATTATACATAGTAATCAAGGAAAAAGTTTTGGTTGCACCCCACCCATACAAGTAGTTCCGCCCCTGCTCCACTAGCAGCCACTTGTTCCTACATTGTGATTTGGCTTGACAGCTTGGAACAAGCTCTTGACTATTTTTTTAAGAGTTTTGGGTTTGCCCCACCACCTTTGACAACCTTCTTACTCGTTACCAAAATGGATGTTTCACTCCCAAAAATTTATGGAGCTGCACACTTTTAGCTGGTGTTTGGCGTCATTAGCTGCAGCATAATATTAGATTTTGGCGCTTCTGCATCTGTTTTGCAAAGGGATTTTGTTGATTTTTAAGCTGACGAATACTTTTACTTTCTATATGTATCTACTGTCTTTTGATGTTCTTGGAGGATATTTTATCCTCCCTCAGAATCTAACTCTCTCTCTTTCTAATGCAATCATGTTTACTACAAAAAAAACAGAATTAACGAGCGAAATCATCCTCTACTAGTTGCATAACTCACCAGTTGAAGAATTTGAGGAATGCTGGGTCCTGTGTCTGTCATGGAGTTAACCTTCATGTCTTCAGTTGAGTGATTATGGTTCGATTCGGAAGGATGTTCTTTACAATGTCCAAAGCCTTCAGCAATGTTTAAATGTTCTAATGACATCAGACCATTAACATCCAGATCAGATGATAAACCCTCAAAGTTCATGCTACTGTCCACATGTCCAAGCTGACTAGTTTGAAAGCCAAAGTTTTGACTCATTGAATTGACTGTGTAAGCAGGATCTGTAGTTTTTGAACTAAGAATACCACTATTGGAATCAGTCTGAGGATTCTGATATGAATGTTCCTCAGTTTCATCAGAAGCTGCTTGGCCAAGACTAGCTTTAATCAGTATGGAATCTTGGGAACTCCACTTCCTGCCACCATCACTATCTAGAGAACCAGCAGAATACCTTCCAATGTAATGAGATTTCCTAGACAAACCAGCATATCCCTCTTCAGAGGATGTTCCCACAACATCAGATGGATCATAGGAAGTCTTAGAACGTTGTCGCTCTTTCTTGTTCTGCAGATGGTTCATTAAGTCTACTTCAATGCGAGGGGTGTGTTGTTTAAGGGCTCGTCTCAAAGAATTTTGTTCATCAACTGACAAACTAAGAATAAAATTCAAAACTGCAGATGAATCAAAGTTAGAGTACACAGATATAAGGCATGTAATAGCTGCTTCTTTAAGCTTTGTATTTTTGTCATGAACCAAAGGGGCTAACTTGGCAAGCCATAATTTTAGGATGCCGATATTAGCAGCACCTTCTGGATTCATTGCGTGCTTGTTAAAGGAACTGATTGCAAACTCAATAACAGCCAATTTTGCCTTTGGAGACCTTTGCTCATCTAGTGAGCGTAACAATGCAGGTAAGAGAGAATCTATACTGTATGTTTTGCTAACAACTTCCAAAGTTGTTGAGCATGCTTGCCTAACAAGCTCTTTGGGATCAATTAACCGAGAAAACACATGGGGTAACATTCGTTCCATGTAACCCTCAAAGGGCCTTCGGCTTGCCAGAATAATATCAGCAAGTGTGGCAAGAGCAGCCTGTGCAACTTTATGATGGGGATCATCCAAGTGCTGGAAAAATAACTTCATTACCTTCTCAAAATTCTGGACTACTTCTTGAATTCCCTTTTGACCTTGCTGCAACAAAGAGTGAAGATAATTAAAGGCAGCAACCCTAGCAGACCAGTTAGAACCTGAACTAAGTCCTTCCCTCAAAGCTTCTTGAAGAGATGCCGGCCCATCTGCATAATTTGACACCTCTCCTATAGATAATTGGCTATCATCAAAACTTCTCCTGCCAGCAGACACGCGTCCAGCTATATTCTTCCTCAAAAGTGGCCTCTGGAAATTAGGCACGTAACTATTCAGTGAATCCCTAAAGTTGCCATCTCTATAAGGGGTATCCAGATACTGCCTATCAATGTTAGGGTTCATATATCGCCTGGTCTCCCTGATGTCACTGTTTTCATCAACAGAACTTCTTTCTTGTAATCTTTCAGTAGCCCTTTTACTTGAGTATGATGAAAAGGCAGATAAAGGCTCAATACCAACATTACTATTATATGATAACTTGCTAGAATCTTTGGAAGCTTGAATTTGGGTGATTATGTCAGACAAACCCAAACCACCATTTCGGTTACTACCTTTATTGACACCAGAAGCAGTTGATTCCGTCATTAAGGAGCTAGTCGGATGATTAGATGCTGGGACAGCAGCAGGGAATGGTGGATCACGAGATGAGGGAGGGTCAACTCCTGCACTAGGGCCAATAAGAGATAAATTTAGCCGCTCGCAAATAGTTTAAAAACCATACCACTAACACCACCAACCATTGAATGGCAACAATTCCTGAAAATTGAGGTAGAAATAAAAATATTTAACAGGTAAACTTATTTGGTACCTAGATCCAAACTTGAAGACCGGAGAGCAGATGAATTATGCTTATCAGAGAAATCCAAACCTCTAAGCATGCTTTCAATAGCAGTGACCTTCTGTTTGCTTGCATTCAACACACTTTCCAAACTACGTTCTGTACCCTTACCAAGTGACTTAGCTTGTGAAAGAAGAACACTAGAGGAAATAGATGTCCCTGATGATAAACTTGAACTTCTGTCCATTGCAACAATAGCAGAAGTTCCATAACCAGTTAGATTTGACGGAGCTGAAGCTTGACTAGTTAATGGCATCAGTGCACTTTTATCACGAATGGAAGGTGACACATGTCGTCTATGGATCCCGCCATCCTCTTCATTTATCAACTGCAAGTTATGTTCACTTTAGAAAATGATTTAAGCAACAAAATAAAGGAAGAATATCACCTTTAAATCAGCATATACCCTTTGAATAGCAGGGTCAAAGGATGAAAACAGGCGACGGGAACGCTCTGGCCATGTTTTTGCAAACATTCTGTAGCACATCCTTGCAGTTGATCGCACCTATCAAGTTTCATACTGTAATCATTTTCACGCACATATAACTTGGCACCAATAATGTGGCCACATGAAAATTGTCATGTCAATGAATATGCTGACAAGCTTCTGTTTTAAACCAATACAAAATTTGATAAATTAAAACAAAAAAGTTTGCTACAAAAAAATGAAAGATCATATTGTTTAAAGAACCAATTCAACCCAAAAGCTTAAGTTGTTGGGTGAGAGCCTTTTTAATGATTTATACTATTCTGTAACACGCCCCCTCACACGATAGCCCACTGGGCTTGAAGGGTGGACAATGCACAGGCCCACCTACCCGTGCTAAAAAATTTCACAAGACTTAATTAAATGTTAACTGAATGGGGGGCGGTGAGGATCGAACTCGTGATCACTTGGTCACGGAGGCTCTGATACCATGAAAAGAACTAATTCAACCCAAAAGCTTAAGCTATTGAGTGAGGGCTTTTTTAATGGTTTACACTATTCTCTAACATATTGTTTAATATAGCATAAACTGCATAGAGCGAGAATTTTTAGAACATTTTACCAAACATGAGTACACACTGAAACAGAGTAATTAGATAATCATGTCATTTTGGACCCCCTTCCTTCAAAGTAAAAAAGTAATAGAATTTGCATATTCAAATGATAAATTAATAGATATATGCAAGTAAGATAATTTAGGTCACTGATTCTGAGTCCATAAGGAACGTGATGCAAAAGAGTGAAGAACTTTTCGCAACAAAATTCCCTCTTGGATTTTTTACACAGATATTGTCGGTCAATTGATCTTCAGTCATTGCATTTGCAAAGGGGAAAAAAACCCTTTTTAAGATCATTAGACATACAGCTAATCATAATAGAAGGTTAACTTTAGCATGAGTTTTATCATGCAATGTTTCAGAATTTTAATTATTCTTTACCTCGCACACACACATAATGAGACATAAAGCCAGCCAGTAAATAAAATGAAATGAAATGTTGCCAGAAATAAAAGCAAACACAAGGAGAACCACATTCACTTCCCACAACTGCAACAGCAATTCAACTACAAATGTGATGCAAACTCTTAATAGCTCAGGAAAAGAGAGCAAAACAATGAAAAGCTAGTCAAGGTTGAAATATGATGCACAATTTATATTTACCAAACATCAAATAACCTACAACTGTGAGAGCTACCTCACTCATTGCGTCTGAGACACAGCACCTTATCATATCCTCATATAAATCAGCTGCTCGCTGTATTTCTGGGGCATCAGGCCAATGTTCTAGTATCAAAAGAGCATAATCACAACACCTACAATACAAACGGTATTAATTAAAAACCCAAACTCGCACACATCTAACCCCAATAGTAGATAATTCATACCTTGCACGAAGAACTGCATTACGATCATTTTTTGCACAATCAGCTATACGAGGAAGCACACGAGCAACTTTGCAATTGCGCAGCATCTGGAAAGTAGATGACAAAGGTGACAATAGGATGCTGCAAAGGTATAAAAACACTAAAGAAAATTAAATAAGCATATTACATTACCGTTTTTATGCAGTTATCTGCAGACTCTGCAATTACAAGCACAGTAATCACAACCAGCTTCAAAAGGACCTGATTATCAGATCAAGTAATAATTAAGATACTAAAAACATGCAAACATGATAATCATATATAAAAAAGTTGAACTTACGGGTATGAACATTTCAGCACATGCTTCAAAGTCACCCAAGAGGTCCTTTGACAAAAAGCATAATAGATGGCAAGCCTAGAACAAAGCAAACACCGACCAGAAAACATTTGTGTATTAGTATTTAGTAATAAGAGATTGATTATCAATAATTATGCTTCCTTCAAATAAAAAATTCCAATCTAAGCTTTAATAAAACCCATTCAAACATGAGTGAAAAACAAAATGAAATTGCAGCCAACATTCTTCCTGGACCTTGTGTACAGAACCAATTCAACCCAAAAGCTTAAGCTGATGGATGAAGCTACATTAATGGTTTTTATATATCTCTAACATGTCCTTTCACACAAGAGTCCACTGGGCTTAAAAGGTGGATAATGCACAGACCCACCTACCTGTGCTAAGAAACTCCACAAGACTTAATTAATCATTAATTAAATGAGGACGGTGAGGATCGAACCCGTGACACTGAGACTCTGATACCATGTAAAGAACCAATTCAACCCAAAAACTTAAGCTGATGGGTGAGGCTACATTAATGGTTTTTATATATCTCTTAACACCTTGTTTCAAGATATGCTAAAATTCAACTTTTCATAGGTTCTTGATGAGAGATTCAACACCCTCTCAGGTCTGCCTGCAGTCATATTTTACATCAATTTTACAGGATAGATATTTACTGTTTTACACTTCTACTATTATGAAATTATTATACTGCTAAGGATGCTCAAATTACATTTTGCCAAAGGAAATGAATGCCATATTAGCTCCCACACCCCACCCCCAATCTTCAATCGAAATCAAATTTCACGAGCTTGTTTACACTGATATAGCTCCTCATGAAGATCTACCCCTAGTAACAAGTTAAAAAAAAAAAAAAAAGAACCGAAAAAGAAATGAAGATGTCATATGCATAGACAAGATCGAACATGCTAAGAGATGAATATCCTTTGACATGAACCAATCTCTAACATGCCTCTCACCTATGATGCACGGACACTGACACGGGACACGACACGCCGACACGTTAATTCTAAAAAATGACATATTTCGATAAGTTGGGACACGTTTTGATATTAAATAATATTTTTAATATATATATTATAATTTATATTTAATAGATATAACAGTCTATAATAAGTCATATAACCAATCAAATATTTAAATTTCATAAATAAATACAAACAAGAATAATTTTTCATACCTTGTTAATTTTTCATGTCAAATTTCATAACAGAAAAAAATTGATTTATAAATGATTTTTTTATTTTTAGTTAATAAAATAAAATTAAGATTAAAAAAAAAACGTGTCCCAGCATTGACCACGTGTCGGAAAGAGTTGACTGCGTGTCCAAAAAACGTGTCGGAGCGTGTCCGAGAGTTGACCACGTGTCCCAAAATATTGACCGCGTGTCAGATACTTGTCGGAACGTGTCCGTGTCCGACACGCACAATTCACCCAAAAACACGAGTCCGTGTTTCACAGCCTCTCACGCAAGAGCCGTTTGGGCTTGATGCATGAATAAAGGATAAGCCTACCAAACTTTTGCTTAATTTCAATTTTTTTTTTTGCTTTTAAATTTAGAAGAATGGGGTGGCAACGAATCAAGTTCTAGATCACTTGGTCATAGAGGCTGTGATACTATATTAGAATTGAGAACGGATTGAGCTTAACTCAACCGGAAAGCTAAATAAGAGGGGAGGATTTTCCAATTCATTATAAGGGATACTTTGCCTATGTACCTATCCAATGTGGAATCTTAACATCAACAACACCTTTATCCCAAACTAGTTGGGGTCGGTGGTAGATGAACCCAAATGAAAAGTACGAAAAGATTGAGAAAAAAAGATAAAATCAAAATTTAAAAAATAAAATAATATATATATATATAACATTATCCATAAAAAAAATAAAACAGTAAACAATTAAAAGGAAAAATAAAGATATATAAGAGGACAAAAAAATAAGAAAGTAAAAATAAAGAAAATAAGGGAAAAAGAAAGAGAGAGAGAGAGAGTAAAATAAAAAAATAAAAAAAATACATAAATAACTAAATAAGAGAAAAAAAAATTGAAAGGAAAAAAGAAATAAAAGAAAAGAAGGAAAGAAATTATATAAAAAAAAAAAAAAAGGTAGAGAAAGAAAGAGAGGGAGATAAAGAGGAAAAGGACCAAAAAATGACCATATGGAACATAGGAAGAAAAATAGGTATAACCCTCCACCATGTTAATAGTTTTTCTCCGATCCATCCTAAGACACACCGTTCACCAATCTATATCTCCCTCCATTAAGTCTTGTTTTACTACCTTCCCCCAAGTAAGTTTCGATCCACCTCTTCTCTTTTTTGTGTCAAGCTCTTAGTAACAAACTTTTGTTCTTACGGGAGCATCCAAACCACCTCAATCTATGTTCTCTCATCTTTTCAGCCACTGGTACTACTTCTACCTTTCGTCGAATATCTTCATTTCTTATCTTATCCATTATCGTATGACCACACATCCACCTTAACATCCTCATTTCCGCTACTCTCATTTTGTGCTCATGTTGCCTATGTGCTGGCCAACCTTCAGCTCCCTATAACATTGCAGGCCTCACTGCTGTTCTATAGAATTTTCCTTTTAGCCTAAGGGGAATTTTGCTGTAACACAAAATTCCTGATGCACTACGCCATTTCATTCACAATCCTGATGTGCAATCTTAACATATCTCAAGAAAATAATAGTGATGTTTCACTTTAAGAAACAAAAGCAGGAGGACTTCAACAAGGAATATCCACCAATCGCTTTAGTTCCGGGGAAGGCACAATAGAAAGTTGAATCCCACAAAATACAACATTTTCGAGTAAAAGAATTTATATAGAATAGAATAGAAAAACAAAGAAAATGTCAGTGTACCTGCTTCACAATGCTAGACCTTCGATCTGACAATTGTGTGCTTAAAGGTCCAACAAGCTGCTTCAGGAGTCCACAGAAACATGGATAATCAGCAGCACCTGATAAGCAGGGTATTCAAAAGATATTGAACATTCATGCCACAAACAAAAACAGATAAAGTTGTATTGAATTTTAACATCTCAGTGAAAATTACAATAAGGAATTAAACAAAAAAAGCAAAGCCACTTAAACAAAAAAAGCAAAGCCACTTTTCCTTAAATAAAAGTAAAAAAATACTTAAAAAAAGTGAAGCAAAGCAGTGAAGTCAAATAAATAATAAAGCTTAACAAATTTGGCTTTGATAACTTACTAATTTAAACCACAACTAATGTTTAAGCCACAAACAAGCTCACCTTCTTTCTACAAATAGAATCCTAAAAGCCACACCCATATAAATGGACTCAATTGGCTGACTGGAGTTTATGGCACAACCAGCACTTACTTTTCCTCTTTATTGTTTATCAAAGACTTACTTGTTTCCATAATTCATTGATGCAATAGTCCACTTAACAAAGACTTACATATTGAACCAATAGCTACAAGTAAAATCTAATACCAAATTCATGTAAGATCACCATAAGCATCCTTCATACCAACCCGAATGTTAAAGATATTCCTAAAATGACAAATATTCTTGCCCTTTTAAACTCAGTAGGAGGAAGTTCTAAAGATTGCATTCTCAGCATATAAAATTCTGTACATACTACATACTCCTGTAAAGGAGATGGGAAACACCAACCTCCATAAACAAGACCTTCAATTCTCTGCATGGCAGCAATACGAATTGACCAGTCCTTTTCGGGTACAAGGGTAGATGCAATCTTCTCAATTTCCCTGATTAACTCCTTCTCAGAATACACCTTGATAGGGTCTATGGCTTTCTCTGTGAAACCACCTTCTCCTGCTCATATTTAATAAGATTATAAGAAATAAAATGCACATTTAATAAAGCACAACAAAATAGTAACAAAGTGGCTAACAAGAGAACCAGATGTTTAGATAGCATACTTGTCTGACTAGACACAGAATGATAAGAAAATATAATGTGGAAAATAAAAGTACGACTTTGGATTTTACATTTTTACTTATCTCTTTTAATCATTTTACTTCCACCACCAAAATCATCTTTTTTACGAATATCGCGCTTGAATCTCATGTAAATTTTTCATTCAATAAGTCAAAAATAAAAATATCCACCACTTGATTACTAAAATCAGTCAGATACCAGTACCACCATGTAATCCAAGGTAGAATCCTAATGATCATGCAGGCTAAACTTGTGGAATACTCCAGAAGACATGCTAGCTAAAATATCCCAAAATTCTAATAATTAATCGACACACAATAAGACAATAATCAACACATGAACTGCCAACTGAAATAGCATCCCTTATTATCAATAGTTAAAATTCTAGCAATCCCAGCAAGATACAAAAGCTTTGTTTAATGATATCATACAAAGTATATCAAATTACCCTAAAATGATAGCAAAATTAATGACATCAAATACCAACATGTCCATCTTAACCACAAAATTTAGAAATATGTTCCAGCACTGTGCAGCTCATAATAAATGAAAAATAAGGAATAAATAAAGAGCAAGTAAGCAACACAGTGCGAGAAAGAGAGTGAGAGATGGGAAATATATGGATAAAATATGAGCCATACTAAAATAATTTCATTAATACAATTAGAATAGAAACATTTGCAATCCAAAAATTTGTAAATATTCTAACCTCCAGAAAGAGAGGTCTCTCTTGATGAACTTTTTGCCTTTGGACTACTTTTCTTGGGATTGACACTGACAGGCATAATTTCCCCAGCAATATAACCACTAGAAATACAATCTGAAGAATGAACTTTTGGTTGTATCCCCTCAAGCCTGGCATTAATAGCTTTCACCTGGAACCATTGTGATGCAATAAAAAAGGAATGATAAACTCACAGTAGTTATTTATCATAAAGATGTAAAAGGACTTCAAATGTCCAAATTACAGATATGTGGGTGAGAAGAATATAAAATAATAATGAAATCAGGAAACTGGTTCTTTGTTTAACATTTACCAAAGAGGAAGGAAGATTGTGGCGCTGAAGTTCATCACGAAATTGAGACCCAGCTTGTGCATACATCTCCTGCAAAAAGAGAATGTTAAAGAAATGTACTGAGATTCATCTTAAATTTAAATCTCCAAAGCACTATCCTCAAGTATGCATACATCATTATTCAAGCAGCCTTTCCTTCCCCTATTGCATTATGATATCAATTACTAAATTATTCAGTAAACCATTAGGAAAAAATCTAATCCAGTCACACATAATCATGCATAATAGAATAAGTTGCATTAAAACAGAACATCAAACTTTCCAAGAACTAGAATACATCAATTGTCAAATTTAGAGCCATATCAAGTTCACAAGATGAGGCCTTGAAAAATATTATGACAAATTTTCACAAAATCAGTTTCGACTGTACAATATAGTGAACAATCCAAGCTTAGCATGATTCTAACATCAAAGCACACCCTCTACTAGACCCATTTCCAATTTTCCATTCCTTAATATTCATATTCAATAAATATTTATATACATAACTCTAAGCTAAAAACAACACACAAATTTAACAATTCTATATTTTTGGGCTAAGCAATTTAATAATTTAAATAACTATTTAGGGTTGAGGGAAAAGTAGTGAAACAAGACTTAATAAAGTGGAAAGTAGTTTGGCAGATGGTTTGTCTAATGACGGAGTGGAGGAAAGCTATTAACATAGTTTGGAGGAAAGATAGATTTTTTCTATGCTTTTACACCAGCGTAAGTTACACTCTCAATCTTGATTGTTGATCCTATTTATATCTAACAACTCTGATTTATTAGATATTTGAGCGACTAGATGCAAGCAAATCAATGATCAAGATTTGGTGTAAGACTTCTTATTCTTACCTCGGTTTAAGAATATCCTGCCCCAATTTATATATATATATATATATATATATATATATATATATATATATATATCATTCTTATTTATTATTCTTTTCACTCAATCTTCTTGCTTTTATTTGGGTTCATGGACTACCAACTATTTATATGGCATAAACCCAATTTTTGGGTAACTAACATGAACTCAACAATGCAAGCCAGTCCTTAGCGACTTCAAACAATATAAAATGACATACTTACCTCGATGCATAAAATAGCTGCTTCCCTAACAGAAGTATTTGGATCATTCAGCAACTGCAAAATCTGACATTGATAAATTTTTAAAAGGAATTAGTATCACATTCAAAAAATATTGAACAGTACAAAAGATATGTAATGCTTGTTTACAAAAAATCAATGAACATACAGGAGGAAGAATAGCCCGTTGAAGGGGAAGCTCAGTAGATGAAAATAGACCAATTGCAGATGTGACAGTTCGTGCAAACTCCTCTCTGACTCTCCAGCTTTTGCATATCCAAGCAAAGGACCCTGCTCTTTCAACAATTATTGTAGGAGATGAAACCTGCAATAATAATATTAATAATAATAATAATACTAGAATCTCAAAATGAAAGGAACTAGAAGGATAGCAAGAAAGTAATTTAAAACTGCAATGAATTCATTCCAAGGGCATGGATTTACGTCACATTCAAATAAATAACAAAAATAAACATAGAATCAGTATAAGTGCCCTGAAGTTTTTTACTGTTGGGAAAATGCACAGGATAGCAGTCCAAAAGAAACAGTCAAGGTATAACAAGGGCATAGAGAAAAATAGTACATTCAAAATTGGAATTTACATAAGTTTTCCCTGCAAAACTCCATTCATTTGGTGATATATCACAACTTAATGCTAACAACTACATTTTTGCAATAAACCAAGCAGAATGTACAATTCTTAGCAATCATCTACTCCAACAGCTTCCAGCTTAACTTGTCATAGACCTATCCTCATTCTTAGGTCATTTTGGAAAGGATGTTTTGCCTATAGCAGTTTATGGGTACACAATTCTTGTTGGTGTTAACTTAATAGAAAATATCCATTATCACAAAGAACAAGTACCAGCAGATAATTGAAATTCACTGGCACGTATAACTGCCAGCAGGTGTGCATGTGGTTTGGCTCATAAACAAAATGATAGAGTATTCTAAATTTCATTTTAAAAAATTTTGGTTTATCTAAACTACTAGGATGACGTGATGAAGCTATAATACAACGGAATTGCATTGACAACGACACTGCAACACAATGGCTGCATGACAAACCCTGAAGAGATCTTACAGTCAATGTCACAATTCTGATTACAGATCCTGTGCTATTATTCAGAACTATGAAGCCTAGTAAGAGTCAATAAACCACGGCTAACCTCATATCCAAGCAATCACTGATCTTCATTCAACAGATTTTTTATTCACCAGAAACCATAGGACATCCAAGAAGCCACCAAACATCGAAGAGTGAAACGTTAATGTATAATTGCTACGGTTTAAATACTACCGAGCTTCCTCTTCATACACTCAAAGTATTATTCCCGATCTCACTTTTTCAACCGACAACTATCTTTATCAGTTTTTCACTCTCATCTCCCGTGCTTGCTTTTCACTTTCCTTAACGTAGATTCTGAGATTCTCTACTTTGCAAAACACTAATAAATTCGCTCCACACTTATAATTCACTAAATTGCAACAAATAGATACAATCGTCGGTTTCAGAAACTGAACGTACCTCCATGAGAGTGAGCAAGAGCCTTCTGGCGGCGTCGCGAACGGGTTGTTTGGCGTCGCCTAAGCGGTCGACGACGGCGGGAACGAGAGTGTTGAAGTGAAGCTTGAAGTGGTCGCCGGAGAGAACGGCGGCGGAGGCCAAGGCTTGAAGCGCGCCCTGAGAGACTCTGAAGCTGTTATCCTTCAAGAGATCCAAGCAACAATCGACGAGGGAAGTGACCTCGCTGGAACTGAGGCTCCTTCTAGAAGCTTCCAGCACTTCGTGAAGGTGCTCCACGCCCGCCATCCTCTCCTTGGCGTCCTTGGCGCGCGCGTGCTCCAACGCTTCCTCCATTTTAAAGGGCTTGGATCTGGTGCGGCACGGTTCAGATCTGGTTCAACCTTTCCCCGATTCACCACAGCATGCAGACCGTTAGTGCACTTCGAAATTTCAAATGCAAGTGTAAATTGCAAATGCAAATGCAAACACGCACATGAACAAGTTAGTTACGTTGATAAATTTAGAAGAAGTGAGGGAGGGAGAGAGATAAAAGGGGAGGGAGTGAAGTGAAAGGGGAACGTAGAGAGAGAAAGAGACGTTAAATTTAGCGGAGGCGTCAAATTCAGAGGGGCGATCGCGGTAGGAGGGAGAGGGAGGGAGAGGGAGGGAGAGAGAGAGAGAGAGAGAGAGAGGGACTTGGATTGACGGGGAAGAGACGATGAATGACGAAGTGAAGAAATGAAATTGATTTGAAAACTACGTTTATGTGGTTGCGGGGGTTGGAAAATTAACCATCCACTTTCTTCTATTTTACGATCTATACCACTGTTGTGTTGCTTTCAAGTGTTTATGTTTTTGGGAAAAACAAGTATAAGATTGTAAGATAATCTTGTCATGCTAGATAACCGTGGGGTTGATTATGTTTAAAATAAAAAAAAAAACACAGCACAAAGATTGATGTATGTATAAAAAATTTGCATTTGTCATACAACGTGATAAATGTAAAACTCTTCTTTTTTTTGGTTGTAAACTAATTTTTTTCTAAGCAAAAATATATGTTATTTCAAATGATGTAAAGTAGAGAGAAAGAAATAAATAAAAGAAGTGAGAATTGACAAAAAAATAAAATTGTGAGTCTCACTTCTTTGTGAGAATAAAATGATACAAATTATGTCATTTAAAATGATAAACATTTTCCATTTTTAAGGTAAAAATAAAACACCATCTAACTTGAAACAAAAAAAAAAATTGAAATGACATGACCTTTTTATTTTATTTTATTTTTGGTACAGTGACATGACCTTTTTTCAATCCCGCAAGTAAAATACGTTCGTAGAGTTTAGTTTTTTATTTAATCATTATTTTAAATGGATATATTTTTTTTATGTGACATTTGATAATATATTTCTCCTATTCATATATTATAAATTATGTTAATATTTATTTATTTATTTTTTAAAAGAATGAATCCTATATACTTTACGAGAAAAGTTATACTTACAATCTTTTTTTTTTACAATCTCTTACAACCATATATCATAACCCTTGATTTCCGTCAATCAACGGTTGTCATTTATTATGAACTAATAATTAATTAATGAGTTTAATTTGCGAAAATCATAACCGTTGATTGACGGAAATCAACGGTTATGATATATGGTTGTAAGAGGTTGTAAATAAAAAAGGTTGTAATTATAACATCTCTCCTACTTTATATCTATAGTATAAGATAACAACACGAAACTTGTATTCCCCAATTTTGAAATGTATATTTTTGTGGGATAAATTGAGGTTTTTGATGGACATTTGTTGAGACTTGAGAGTACCATAATAGGAAACCACTAACAAAGAATAATGCTTGAAGTTTCAATAATTTTGCAATGATGATAATTAAGGAGACTGGAGTATATGGTTGCCACTTGCCACATTACCTTATTTTTAGTTTTATATAATGAAGTCAGTAACTAAAAAAATACTGTGAAAATAATAAAAAAATATTACAAAAAATGCAGAAAGAAGAGTAAAAATGTAATTTTGATTCAACTTTTTAATATTTTTCTTTAAATTACAAAGCATGTTATATTATTCTTGAAATCTTGTCTTAATATGCGTTTGAATTAACTTGATATAAGCTCTCTTAGGATGTAACATGTAAGATTATTGTTGCGCAGCACAACAACATTCCTAGGGTGCGCAAGACAACCTTCCCGGAATCAATTCTTTTTTAATTTCTGTTTCCGGGAACAGAAATGGATAGGAAACTCGTTTGGTAAAATCGGTTTATTTTTTTGTTCCCGGGACGAACCGGTTTAATTTTTGTGCTGGGGAACAGAAAAAAGAATCAAAAAATTTCTGCTTTTTTGTTCCCGGGCTCAAAATGAGAAACACTTATCTCTCTCAATCACTCTCCACCTCTACCATCATCACCACCACCACCATCATCCCGACACGACTGTCGCCACCATCGTCGCTGTCGCCATCGTACCACTAGTGACGCCGTCACCACCCCTCACCACCACGATGTCACCGCCACCATTACCATCACCTCCACCCATCACTACCACCATGACACCACCACCACAACTACCATCGTCGCCGCCATCACCACCACTATCACCGCCATCAACCACCACCACCATCATCGCAACCATTGTCGTCACCGCCACCATCGTCATCACACGCCAGTGCCACCACCCTCATCGCCATCACTACCACCACCACCACGATGCCACCACTACCATCACCACCACTGTCACCAACCACCACTACCATTGCCGCAACCACTACCGTCTTCACCACCATCGCCGCCGCCACCAACCACCACCACCGTCATCATCACCACCATTGCCACCATTACACCAACGCCACCACTACCATCACCAAGCCATCGCCACCATCACCACTACCACTGTCACCTACCACCACCGCCGCAGCCATTGCCACCACCACCACCACCACCATGATGCCTTCACAACCACCACCATCATGCCACTGCTATCCTTGTTGCCGCCACCAACCACATACCAACTACCATTGTCGCTGCCACTGCCGTCACCTCCACCACCACCATCCCCACCACTACCACCGCCGCTGCCACCATTATCACCGCCATCGTCGCAGCCACTACCGTCACAACTGCCACCACCACTACCGTACCGCCGCCGCCGCCACCACCACAACCACACCATATGGAAAGGAAAACGTTGATCCGAAATTTTTTTTATATTTAATAAGAATTATTTTTATTATATTATTTGTTGTGTTATCAAATACAATTCTCATTCTCGGAATAAAAATGAAACATGTTATCAAACACATTTTTTTTCTCAGAAACTGTTCCAAGGCACAGAAATAGAAAAGAATTGTTTCTTTTCAGAAACAGTGCTCGGGAATAGAATGATTGTCATGCACACCAGTGTAGGCTTTTTGGTCATAGTTTATAACATGTTCGAAGGAATGAAAATACTTAGTATACTTAAGTAAGAAGAGAATGAATGTCTTTTTAATATCATAGAAAAAGGGAAAGAAAACGAGTGTCCAATATATTTTCCAGCTTATATGCTTAACCGGAATTATCTAACTGCAAAAATAATTTTGCAGTTAATACAGATAAGTTATCTGTATTTATTTTTAAAACAACATCATTTTGGGATTGAAAGATTAAAAAATTATAATTATAAAGATTATAATAACCCTGAAATAAATTAAAATTACAAAAACATCATGATTTCTATCCAAAAACGACGTCATATTGGGCTGATATCTTATCTGCAGTAAATGCAGAAAAAGTGAACCCATTATCTAAATCTGAAACATTGGGAACAAGAGTGTATTTGTTTATAGCATTAGTATTTCTCATATTATAAGAGATAAAATTATCACCTATACATATATAAAAATGTGTAGATTTCATAAGCAATTATGCGAAGAGAATAGAAAAAAATGAACCTCATACATATTTACATGTGTGTATGAGATAAAAAAAATTATAACATAAGAAGCATTAATCCCTTCATTTATTTACCAACACTTTTCAAATATGAGGTTTGCATAAATAGTTAAATAATTACTTTAAAAAAATTCTAAGCTTAATTGTGGTCTCATAATCTTCAACATTTAAAAATTAAGGTATGAAACTCCCCAAATGTTTAAAAATTATAAATGACATTTATTGAGAATGAATGTTGCATAAATATGTCTCAAAAGTCGCGATTAGTTAATAAAACTGTTGGCCATTAATGAGTAATTTAATGGGTTATTCTCCATGGCGTTTATGTCAAATGAAAATAGTACGCTACAACGGGATGAGATTAATGGGATCTTTGATACAGGAAAAAAAATTTACGAAAGAATCACGATTTCGGAAATATAATGGAAAAATGAAATATTTGAGAATATTATCAAAAATATTATTTAGTATGTCAAAATATTTTCAGAAATTTTGATTAATTTTTTCTAATATTATATTTGGTTATTTTTGTTTGGAAAATAATCAATATTTTCTCATAGTCTGATTTCTTGAAATACCACCATCTAGATGGTATTTTTAGTAATATTTTGATTTAGAAAATACACACAAAATAAAATTCTGAAAAAATTAAAATTTTCTCCAATGTGCTACTAAATATAGGATTCTAGGAAATCCATCCTTACTTTCCTAAGCATTTAAAAATAATTCTCCTACCAAATATCCCCAAAAAATTTCAACTAAGGCCTTTATATATATATATATATATATATATATATATATATATATATATATATATATATATATATAATAAAAATAGAAGAAAGAAAAAAGTTAATTCAACAAGTTAGAAACATGCATTTGTGAAAAGGCAAAAAATAATACAACGCTTTAATATTTTTACAGTAAATGTATATAAGTTATTTATGTTCACTTCTAAAATGATATTATTTTGAATTAAAATATTATAAAGAGTAAGATTACTATAATCTTTGAATAAATTATAATTAGAAAAATATCTTAATTTTCTCGTGATATAATTTTGGATTCAATACAAATAATCTGTCTACAATTACTGCTGAAAAAATGAAACCCATAATACAAACCTAAAAGTCTTAATTTTAAGTTGGGTTTTATAAGAGTTATGTTGTAGGAAAAGTGATTGTGTTATGTTATAGAGATTCGTTTTGCGTGCCGAAGTTTTTTTTTTTTTTTTTTGCTGCGGGCCCCACAAAATGTTGTGTGTGTACGAAAATTTTTGTGATCATGTTAAATGATAGATGATAAACCCTATTAAGTTTCTCGATTGGAACAACAATCGACCATACTCATATCGTAGTTTTCAAGTTTTCAAATATGGAGCATTGTAGTTTTCATGTTATAGACA